GAGTGAGAACAGACACCCAATAATTTGTCTCTAAAAGGAACTTGAAAGAGGAGGGATGTCTAGGAGATGTCTAGAGTGAAGAGGATGGTGATCCAGGGAGGTCATGTTTGTTTTGTTTTGTTTTGTTTTGTTTTTTAAGGTGGAAGAGGCTTGAGCATGCTACAGGAAGAAAGAAGAAGGGGAGAGGCTGAAGGATTTCATTCATGCATGCACTCAGCCACCCATCCAGCTCTCACTGATGTTGAGTTTATTTCTTCTTTTTATTTAGTTGAGCAGACATTTTTGAGCACCCATGGCAATCTTTTGGGGGCTTGGTTGACAACAGTGAGTCTTACCAGATTTGGAGTAGGAGAGCCTAGGACTGTGGTTGGTAGAGGAAAGACAGTCCCTGCCCTCTTGGGTACCCATAGAGATAGTCACACTGATTGACATGAGGCCAAGTACAAGCAGTTACTAGATTCATAGTTAGACGGGTTAGAATGACCCATTCATTCTCATTTTCAGTTGGTTGTTTTGTCTGAGTAAAACCCTGGATTGGACCAAGAGACTGGGCCACTCTAGTCCTTGGCTTCCAATATAGCAGGAGGTGAAGACCTTGGAATCTGGAGGAGTCTCTGGTGCCCAGAAATATGAACCTCCCCACAGTCATTCTTGTCAAGTCTGCTCAGCTTCTTGAAGCCTGAAAACAGGCACAAAGTGGGGAGCTCCAGCATCACCTACCTTCCAAAGCCTTAATTCAGAACCATTCACAACAATCCATTCCACTCATCTGATTCTGATCCACTTGGCCACTAGTTTATTTTCCTTTTCCAGTGTTCATCTTGAGTCTTCCCATGTGCTGCTCCCCATCATTTCTCCATCTGAGCAGGCTTGGGCCACCTCACTCTATGCCCCTCAACTGGTTCTCTGCATACCTGGGAACCCTCATCCCCTGTTGCCATCATGGATGGCATTCTCCCCAGTTCCAGCCTGTTCCCAAAAGAGGAAATAGGTGGCCTGTGAGAGAAGGAATTAGGCATGAGGTCAGAGACATATTCAGTAGTTTGAGGACTGAAAAAGATCTGATTTAGACTTTTCTTATTAGAGTGAGATTTAAAAATTATACTTTCTTTGTAGGGTTTTCAATTCCTTATTGCCAGTTCCTGGCATAGTAACAGTCACATGGTTAGAGTTCAATTAATCTTAATCCCCTTTCCCTTTCCTTGATCTCTTTTCAATTCCCAGAACCAATTCGCACTTATGGGAAAACCAACTTGAGAGAGTTCATCCATCCATCTTGCAGGGGAGGAAGACTTTTCCTCTACCTTTTGTGGGTTCGTCTGGCCGGAGAACGAATTAAATTCACATGAGACAGAATAGCAAGAGAAAATTAAACAAAGCTTTATGAGGACCATGGCCTGGGGCCTTTCTTCCCAAAGGAAGAAAAGGCACCGAAGAAGTGGGGTGCACAGAGTGGTTATATACCCCCTAACAGGATGTTTCACATATGATTGAATGTCCCTCCCACAATAGTCACAGGATTGCCCTGTCGGCACAGTGCTTGATGGACACAGCAGGTAGTGGGTCTGCTATCTTGGAGGGCACAGCAGGAGGCAAGTCTATTGTCTTGAGCTGGGCGGTCACAGGCGAGCGCAGCAATCAGTTCCTAGCCTAAGGAAAGATGCTTAATCCTTAAAGAAATGCCAGCGTTGGGAGGGGGAGGGAAGTCAGTTACAGGAGGTTACCAGACAAGCACAATAAACAATGCAGATTTAAGTCCTTGCCTTCCCCATTGATTAAGAGTTTCTAGAGATAAGGTCATCTCCCCTTCTTCCTGGTAGAGAGGGAGATATCTTTACAGATGGAGAGTTCCTTTACAATGTAAATGTCTCTTACAAAGGGTAAGTAAATTCTACTTTTTAGTTACTTTCCTGTCTGCAAAGGAACCAGCCTCAAATAATCATCATGCCAAAGAGGCACATCTTGGCGTGGCCAAGACCAGTCCCCCACAATCTATCTATCCATCCATCCATTCATTTACCAAATTTTTTTTGAGGACCTACTATGTGCCTATCACATTTCTTGGTTTTAAGCAATAAATAAGGTAGACACTGCTTCTGTCCTCGTGGAGCTTAGAGTTTAGAGAAGATAGAGGCTTAAATGACACCTCCTCTGTGGCAGGCACTCCTGCCTGGCTGCTCTGACTCCACATAATCTGGGATTAAGTGTCCCTCGTTGAGAGAGAAGTCCTGAACCAAATGACCAGCACTGGTAACCAGGCTTCAGCATGGGGCCTTGTTTGGCCAGTCCTGTCTGGTGACCATCCTTATGTACCAGACCCCTCCCAGCCTTGGGCCCTGCCTTGTTCTTTTCTCTCTCCTGCCAGACTCATCCTGATTTTCAACCCAAGGCTCAGGGTCCTATTTCCAGCTGCCAGTCCTCCCAGATGGCCAAGTCCTACCATGGGAGATATTCTGACCCCTCCCAGTAGTTATACCTCACATTTCTGACTCTCACTATGTGCTAGCCTGTGGTCTCAGTCCTGAATCCTCCCAAGAATCTGATAAGTAACTATTCTTAAGATCCTATCTGTGAAGGGCAAAGGCTCCTGCTGCAAAGATGCCTTAGCTGTCCTCTCCCTCAGGCTCTGTAAGAGGAGGGAGGAGGCAAATATCCCTGGGAGAGGTAGTCAGACTTAGCAGAAAGAATTCGTAAGCTTTGGAGTCAGACAGACTGGGCTAGAATCCCAACTTCCCCACGGACAAGCTGTAGATGCTGGGAAAGTCACATGACTCCCCTACATCTCAGATTCCTCACCTGTAAAGTGGGAAAAATACTATGTACTTCAAAGGAGTGCTAGGAGGACTATGGAGAATGTATTAAAGCCCCTGGCTCCTGGTCTGTACTCACGAAAAAGCAGTTACTAATATTATCCCTGCTCCGAGCTCCCAGACCTCATGTGTGGGCCAGGCCTGGCCATATTGGTGTGTGGAAATCTTTTTCTTTTCCCTGAACTGCCTCACTTTCCCTTGAGCAGCCCTGGGCAACTGTGTGAAGATGGAGAAGGAGCTGCAGCCAACTGTAGCCACCACCCTGCCCAGCCGGCTCTGACCTGGAACTCCAGCCTGGCTCTCTCAGGTCATCAAGGCACAGAGGACTGGCCAGCCTGATTCAGATGTCCTACTCTTTTGCAATTCTTCTTGGGGATGTCCTGATCTCAAGGCAGCAGTGGCTACAAAATAGACGTTTATATTCAACTCTCCCTAAGCACAGAGATATGGCCCAGCGAGCCTTAGCAGAGGAGAAGACAGGGTGAAGGTTAATGGCCAAGGCAGGGGTCGGGGAAGGCAAAGCGAGACCTGACTTTGTGGCCTTAACAGGACAGAATTCAGCCTCCAGGTACTTTCCTGGCAGCAGGGCACTTCTCAACCTGCCTTCTCAAAGGCTGGGAACTTAGCTGGAATCTTGGCTGGAACCCCTCAGCATTGCTAGGAAGTGCCTTTTAACCTTTACCCTAGCCAAACAGCCCTTGCTGATTTTCACCACATCAAACCTCTTTAAATACAAACCTTTTCTATCTTTCCCTTTTGTTTGGTCTGTATCTTTAACAATCTGGTTAAAATGTCCTTCAAGTTCTGGCGATGACACCTCTGAAGACGCCTGGCTAATCTCACTTGAACCTGAAGACAATGGTACAAGGTAAGCAGGTCATAAGTGGTTATCCCTAGATTATAGATGTGGGGTTCAGAGAGGGAAAGATACTTGCTAGAGGTTGCATAGTTTAGGCCTGGCAGAACAGGGATCCAAATCCTCAGGTCTCAACATTACTCCACACTGTTGATTTCAAAAGGTGACCAGACAAATGAAATCAGTGACCTTGGAATAAAATCCACATTCCTTGCTAGAGTCTGAAAAAGCCTGTGGGATCTGGCCTTGCTCACCTCTCCAGTGTTTACAGGCACCTCTGTCCCTTCCCTCACTTCTGCCCCTCTGGCCACCTGTTGTTTCCTAGAACCCATTAAGTGCTTACCCACCTCCAGGCCTGTGTACTGATGTTGTTTGCCTGGCTCTTCCACGACTCCTTATCTTTCAGGTCCCATTTCAAAGTCATTTTCTCAGAGAAAAGAACTCTACCCTGTCTAAGGAAAATCCCTCTGTTATTTTCTTCCATTGCACCTTCCTTCCCAGCCCTTATCACAATCTGTAATTATTTATGGAATGAATTTATTTATTTATTGAATTATTCATTTATTGAATTGGGTACCCAAGTCATTCAATTCAATTAATTTAATTATTCATTTATTTAGCCAATATTTATCGAGCACCTACTAAGGGCCGTTCTTTCAGGAGCTGAGGTTACAATAGTGAACAAAACAGACACAGATCTCTGTATGATGGGGCAACTTCCCAGGCAATAGAAGAAAGACAAAAGGAGTTAAGTGTCACTCCAAGGGTTTTGGCTCAAGCAACAGGAAGATGGTGCCGTCATTTGCTGAAATGCAGAAGAGAGCATGTTGGGTGGAGGGGGGTAAAAAGGAATTGTTTTTTTGTTATAAGTTTGAGAGAGTCAGGTGGAGACATCAAATTCGTGGTAGTATATCCATCCCCAGAGTTCAGGCAAGAGATCTGGGCTGGAAATACACCTGGGAGTCATCGGAGCACTGATTATATAGTAAAAGCCACAACCCTGGATGAGTGGTTTTGGAGAGTGACTGTAGTTAGAGAAAAGGTCCAAGAACTCAGCCTTCAGCATTTAGAGGTCAAAGAGACAAGGAAGACATTGAGAGACGGCCAGAAAGGTCGGAACAGGAAGCAGAGTCTTCACTCGAGAATGAAGATGAGGTAAGAGGCATTGGATATTTGAAGAAAGAGGAGAAAGCAGGAAAACATGTCCTGTGAGAGTGAGTGAACTAGAGAAATAGAGTGACCTTCAGGCAGTTCTAGGGCCCACATGAGGCTAGTGGTCTAATTTAAAGGGAGCCTGGTCAGCATTAATTCGAGTTTTTTCTCTTGCTATGTTCAGCTGTGAAGGTGCAGGTGCAGAGCGGATGGAGAGCTTCGGTTGAGCCAAAAGAGAAGAAGGAAATGAGGGAGGGGCAAGGAAAATGAGAATGTGGGCAAGGACAGTGAGAACGTGGGTAAGGAAAAGGACAGTGTGGGCCAGGCCGGGATTAGGTGTTTGGCCGTGGGAGTTAAACTCCATAGGAAGGGAAGTGAGGACATTGCGGGGTAGGGAGGAGGGGACAGTAAAAAGTGAGTTGAAGGTCCCAGTGGGGTTGAAGGGCTATTTTGAGTCAGTTTATTAAAGGAAATGGGAGAGGACGTATTTCAAGGAGATGCTTGAAATTGAAATTAAGGTATTAAGGCCTAAGGAATGAGCGGGGAGGGAGTAATGAAGTGGAAGGAGAAGCAGAGGGTGAGGAACTGAGAAGCCAGGATATTGGAAGGATCATCTATGTGCATATTGAAATCATCCAGAATTATGACAGATTAGTTTTGGAGAGAGTCTTAGTGTGGTTTGGGGGAGTATTTATGGGAGATAAGGTATGTGCCTGGCACACACTTGGTTCTCAATCAATGCAGTTTAGTTACTTATTTGCTTAATATTTTTTCAGGGCGCTGGGTCTTCTCCCTCAGTTACTTCCAAAGCAGAGCTTCGTGGAGGGTTGTGGCATTGCATTGTGGGTGGCGATGGGGTTGGGAGACACACTGGGGCCTGAGCCTGGCCTCAAGGGAATGTGTGGGTCCCTGTTGCTGAGGCTGCCCCATAGTCTGGAGTCCAGGCCCTTCTGCTGCCTTCAGGCTGGACTCCCACCAGAGCCGCGCGTCGTCGGCTCAGCGGCAGCAGCAGCAGATGGCGCGGAGTGGGTGGGCTGGGGTATCTGCAACTGATCCCACAGTTGCCGGATTAATGAGGCCTCGTGTCCGCCTTCTCTTCTGCAGTGTGCCAGCCGACAGTAGCTTCCTTTGCTGGGGTGGGTTTGTTTGCGGGAAATTTTTTGGCAGTGAAAGCTCAGCACCTGATTGAAAACTTCCTCTCCCCCTCCCCCGGCTTCTTTACTGGCTCTGGTGAATTCTGGGGCCTCAAGCCTGCCCTGTGTGTTTCCCGTGTCAAACCGATGAAGCTGAGATCAGGCAGTCCTGCTCCTGTGTTTATAGATGGGGAAACTGAGGCCTACCTAGAGAATTTAATCATTTATTCTAAAGCAGGAGGCTCAGCACTCTACATATGTCCCATGCCTTTCTGGTGTCCAGCTAAATACCTGGGTCAGCGTAGACTCCATGAGGGAGAACCTAGATTGTTCATATTTGAGGTTCAGGCCTATATAAGCATACCTGATGGGCATTGAGGTCACGGGTGCTAGAAGACAATTGGAAGCCAGATGAGAATGGGGTCCTGAAGAGAAAATGTCACTGTAAGTGAGGAGGGAGTCTGGCACAGAGGACCAGGCTAGCAAACAGGTTCAAAGATAAGAAGCATTAGTTGTGGGCATAGTATAAAGTTCTTCTTGGTCCACTCTGACCCGGCTTTCCTGGTAAATCCCCAAAACAATGTCACTAAGTTATTAGGTGGTCCAAGCAACTCTGTGGTATAACTGTTCCTTCCCCAGCAAAAGGGAAAAGAGAAAAGGAGGGTGCGTTCTTAATGATGGATGAGAGGGAGAGAGCAAGCAAGAGAGAGAGAGACAAGCCCCGGAGATCTGGAGGGGAGTAAAGATGCTGAGATATTCCAGTAGGTGGGGTGGCAGGAACTGAGGCCCCCAAGGAGCATTGGAGGTCAAAGACAGGTCCGTGCCATCAATGGGTAGCCCAAGAGGGGCCTTAGATTCATGGCAAACTAATGTAGGCAACAATACAGCGAGGACAATCTGGAGGCGGATGGGGATGGAACTCCTAGCAATGGGGCGGCAGGCATTTGGAGGGGCGTTGGGGATCTGGGGTGGGTCTAAAGACCAGTATAGGCCTCATTAACGTGGTCAAACTGAGGGGCACAGGCAATGGGCCAGTGGGACAGAAAAATTATCAAAATTAAACCAGTGAGACAAAGTTGTCTAATCTTTCTCACATAGTGGCATACATACAAAAATACTCGTTTGTCCCAATAGGGTAGAGGGACAGGTTGGAGCCAGAGATGAATGACCTGGGGGCTCTAACTGCCCAGGGCCCCACCTGGCTGCTCAGAGGTTCAGGAAATAAAATGAGCACGTCAATAAGAATGCGTTCACAGATTGGGAAGTTCTGCAGTGAGGAGTGTATTTTTCTCAAGTAAAAAGAAGTACAAGGGAGATAATCCAGGGCTGCTGTAGCAGCTTAGAGATGCCGTTGTGGACCTAGGTCCCTCATGTGTTTCTAATCTGCCATCCATGGCTTTTGGTTGTTGCCTTCATGGTTGCAACATGGCACCTGCAGCTCCAGACATCACTTCAGCATTCCAAGTGAGGAGAAGAAAGGGAGGAGGAGGGCAATGGCAGAGAGAAAAGAGTGTGCCAGCTGAGTTTGCTCTCTTTTAAAGAGCTTTCCTGGAAAGCTCTTGGTGAGGACCAGGCACTTGTTATATCCCATTGGCCAGATCTGGGTGATGTGGCCACTTCCAGCTGTAAGGAAAACGGAAAGATGTTTTGTAGCTAGGCATTTTGTTGCATTAATAAAATCAGAGTTCTTTTAGAAAGGAAGAAGAAAATTAATATGAGTAGGGCTCTGACAAAGACTACATTGTATTCAGGGAGTAGTTAATAGTTTTGCACAGCTGGACCACAAACTGTGAGGCAGGAAGAGGAGAGAGACGAGGCTAGTTCAGCAGTCAGAGCCTAGATGATGCGGGGCCTTGGAAGTCATTCTCCGGCATCTGATCTGTATCACCTGGGTGACGGGACTCCACTGACAGGATTTAGGCAGAGGAGTGATTTGGTCAGATTAGTGTTTTAGGCAGATCATTCTGGCTGGGGGGGATGGGAGAGTACAGATGGTGAGGAGGGAAGATCTCCTATGAGGTTAGTGCCAGAATCCACGTACGTACATAGAAGGTATCCAGTTAATTGTCTCTAAATGAGATGATAAGACTTAAGCCAGGATAGCAGCAATGAGGAGGGGCGGAAGGGGATGAATTTGAGAAATTTCCAGGAGGTAAAATTGATAGGGTTTGGTAATTGACTAGGTAATTGAATGGTTGGGGGAAGGGAAGTGGAGTTTAGAAATATTCCTGGGTTTCCCACTATTAATTGGGATGTAGAACACAAGAGAAGGAGAAGGTCTGGCGTATAAAATTTGTTCAAAATCACACAAGAAATTGGTGGCAGAGCTGGGAATTGAACCCGGTTATCCTGGGCCAGTGTTCCTTCCATTACTCTGTGCTCCAACTTCTATTCCCTGGAGCCCAGAAAAACAAGCCATTGATGTCTTTGCACCGACTGATTCTTCTCCCCTTTCTCCACCCACCAGGTCATGAGAGCCCAGGGATGAAGTTAATATGGTGATGGCGTCTTGCTCCTGGAGGACCCAGCTTACTGAGGGTATGCTAAGAGAGTGAGCAGAGGGGCTGCCATAAACACCACCTCTCTCACTGATGCTAGGGGGTCAGGAAGCACCTGGACGGAGCATTAGCTTCTCCCCACAACTATTCTTTCTGTAATTCTTGCTTCCTGAAGCTTGGCTGGTATGTTAATTTCCTATCGCTGCTCTAACAAATTATCACAAATTCAGTGGTTTAAAATAATACAGATTTATTCTCTTACAGTTCTAGAGGTCAAAAGTCTAAAATTAAGGTGTTGGCTGGGCTGTATTCTTTCTGGAGGCTTCAGGGGAGAATCAATTTCCTTACCTTTTTCAGCTTGTAGAAGCCACCTGCATTCCTTGGCTCCTGGGCCCCACCTTTTGTTTTCATCATCACCTCTCCTATTACTGACTGATCCCTCTACCTCCTGCTTATAAACACCCTTGTGATCACATCGGGCCCACCCAGATAACCCAGGATTATCTCCCCATCTCAAAATCTGTAACTGCATCACATTTGCACAGTCCTGTTTGCCATGTAAGGCAACATATTCTCAAGGTCCAGGGATCCGGACATGGACACCTTTGCAGGGGGACATTATTCAGCCCACCACAGCTGAGCACCTTCACAGGCATTCTTTTCATGCCCAGTTTTGGCACAGTCCTTCCCCTTGATGAGCTCACAGTTCAGGGACGTAGGCAGAGAAGTAAAGAGCAAATTACTCTGCAGGGTGAGAGAGGCAAGCACGGGGACTATGGGAGCCCAGAGGAGTGGTACAAATCTGGTCTGGGAGGTCAGAGAAGGAGCTTCAGAAGAGTCAATGTCCATGCTGAATTTTCAGGAATGTGTAGGAAGTAGCCAGATGAATAATAATGATAATAATAATAACAGCAAACAGGAGCCAGCCTGGTGGCACAGTGGTTAAGTTCGCACACTTTGTTTTGGTGGCCTGGGGGGGTGTTTGCGAGTTTGGATCCCAGGCACAGACCTACACACCACTTATCAAGCCATGCTGTGGCGGCATCCCACATACAAAATAGAGGAGGACTGGCACAGATGTTAGCTCAGGGCCAATCTTCCTCACCAATAATAATAATAATAATAATAATAATAATAGCAAACATTTGTATAATTATTGCTATCTGCCAGGTTGTGTTTTAAGCACTTGACATATATTAATGCATTTGATCCTCTCAATACCGTATAAGGTGGGTACTTTATCGCTCCTATTTTATAGATGAGTAAACTGAGGCTGAGAGAAGGTGATCCATTGGCTGGAGTGTAGGTCCTTCCCACCACTCTTATAGTAAAGATCAAAATCCTTTCTGTGGCTTTTGAGGCCCGTGGTGATCAAGTCCCTGCTCCCACTCCCACTCCCATGCCAGCCCTGTTCCCACCTCCACCTCTGAGTCACTGGGCTCCTTTCAGCTGAGCCTCACTCCTCTCCACCTCTGGTCCTTCGTACATGCTATTTCCCCTCTTCCTAGGATGGGACACGACCTCCTCATCCTTCAGATCTCAGTTCAAATGCCACAGTAGCAGGGTATTCCTTGTCCTTAGCTGGGCAAATGTCCTTGTTACTCACGGTCAGAGCAGCATGTACTTGACCTTGACAGCACTCACCCCCAGCCGTATACAAACATCTCTTTTGTCCCCTCATTGTGTCTTCAGTGCCACATAGTAGGTGGTCAGTAAATATTTGCTCACTCAGCAAAAAACATTGGGGAAGATGGGAGTCTAGGAGTAAGCAGGAGCAGGCCCATCAGAGATCACCCAGTTTAACACCGTCCTTTAACTTCTGGGAAACTGAGGTCCAGTCAGGTGCAGTCACTTGCCCAATGTCACACAGTAGGTAGGGCAGAGCTGAGGATTCTGACTCCTGGTCCTGGGTCTCTTCCATCATTCCCATTGTGATGCTCCTGACCTTGCCCTAGTGCCTGGGGCACGACCCTGCCCAGGTTCGTTTTTGCCCACCACCCTGAAAGCCAAACCACCAAGAGGACAAGATCGCAGCAGAGAGTTTACTCACAAGGCAACCACATGAGGAAGCGAGAACATGCGTCTCAAATCTGCTTCGCTGAAAATAGGGACTCAGGGATATTTATGGGGTACGGGGGCAAGGTGATCTGAAATGTGAAGATAGGTGATTGGAGGTGAGGAGAGGTGAGGTAATTGATGATGTGTGCAAGCGTAGTCAGCCTTCATGCCTCTTCATAGGATCCATGTTCGCAAAATGGCAGCATTAGCATGATCTGAGGGTGGGGTTTTTAGCCTCTTGACATCTAAAGGTCACCTACCGGACATCAGCACGGGCCCAGTTGATGAGCTGGTGGTCTCGACTGGCCTGGAGTGGACAAAGGGGTTCTAATTCCTGAGAAACAGCTCACACACCCATTACCATGGTGACCCAGGCTCCAGGGAGATGTTATCTATAGGAGCCTAGTGGGAGTCAGATAGCATATTGCCTAAACAGCACAGTTAACAATGGGTCGGGGAATAGCTAAAAGTTATAACCAGTAATTGCAAAAAGAAAAAAACCTTTAGTTCCTAGCTACTTAATCATCAATGGCTAAATCTTTGCCAGTTTCACCTGCCTGTCCAAGTCTGATTCATCTTTCAAGATACAGTTGATTCCCAGGCATCTCTAGGATGCATTTCTTGTTACACCTCAACTTCCCCCGACTCTGCCACAGTTAGAATTGACTGCTCTTTTCTTTGTGCTCCCCAAACTTCCTCTAGCTTTGATCTTGCCATTCAGTGCTTACATTGGAGCTCCTACAAGGCAGGCACTGTGTCTGATTCCTCTGTCAGGGAGGCATGCATGCAGCAGAAAGATGTGGTGTGGGACCAGTACTGTGATACAGGAAGGCAGAGGGATGTGGGATTGTCTAGGAATCCCCAGCCCAGCCTGGGTGTCAGGGAAGGTTCTCAGGAGGCAGTGAACCATGAGCTGAACAAATCAGGATTTGCCACATGGATGGTGCATGCGTGTTTGTGTGTGTGTTGAGTGAAATGGGGCCTGGCGATGGAGGAAAGGACATTCTAAAGTTTGCAGAATGGAATAATGAGCTAGTCACATGGGGTGAGGTGGGGGTTGGGCAACCCGAAGCCCTTTTGTTCCCAAGGATTTAAATGAAGAGGTTGAACTGACTTCCAAGGCCTTTCCCTCACCGCCTAAGCAGGCAATGATGAGGCCAACGGTGTGACAAGTTGGGGAGGGCTGCCCTTTACAAATGGTCCAATGGATCCGTTTTCCCATTTGGGGTGAGACAGAACTTACAACTCTTTTCTTGTGCCTAAAGCCAAGAGGAGTATGGCTTGGGAATGTCATCTCTTCCCAGGAATTTGTTTATGAATGAAAGGCCCTCACTTCCCTGCTCAAAAGCCTTCTGGGACCCTGCTTTCTGAAAGAAGTCCCCTGCCTCAGCCTGAACGTCTGACCCTTCTTCCCTTATTCCTCTGCTGTCCTCCCACTGCTGCCTGCCTAAGATCCTTAGCATCTTTCTCCATCCCTTCCCCAACGCCAGGAAGGCCTCCTCAGCTCCACCTTGCCTAGCCACTCCCTACTGTCCTGCATGGGCTGTTCAAGCCACCCCGAACCCCTTCCTCAGGGCAACTCCCCCAAGCCTTTCTTTACCAGCAGGCCATATTGTAGAGCACATGGCCCCCCTGGTTTCAGCTGTTTGGACCATTTGGTCTGTGTGAAGGAAAATTACTGGTGCCAGCGGCCTGTAAACAATGACCAATCAGGGCCAACATGGTTTTCTCTCTGAAAATTTGAACCATTCTTTCAGGGACAATTGGACCTGTTCTTGGTAAAGGTAGCGTCATTGAAGAGTCACAGGGAGGGGGCAGAATGGCTGAGTCACTGTAGTGGTTGGGCACAAGAGGAGGGATCAGTGGGGTCTCTGGTTGCTGAGGGGCATTCAGAGCCTCTGACCATGTGTGGCTGGAGTTGTTTTATTTCAAAAGCAGCTCAAGTTCCATGAGGCCGAGCGAGATTTCCAAGAGCTTATTCCCACACGTACCCCTACTGTCTCCTCCCTCCTTTCCTGGAGTCTTTCTCTGTTCTTCACATCCAGAGGTACCCACCAAACCATGTCCCCCTGCCAGGGGGCCAGGCCCAAGCTCTTTTCCTCTGAGAACTCTTTCTGGCTGCTGTTTCATTCCTACTACTCTTCATCACCAGGAACTTGAAGTATTTTATCTCTAATCCTTCCTTCTCTGACCAGGAATCTGTGAGACGTTGAACGATTCGCCCAGGGATCTAAACCCAGAGCTTTCACCAGAGCTTGTCCTCTTCCCACCAGGCCACACTCTCTCCTTTCTGGGCCCCAGAATATTCCTTTCATTCTCCACAGATTTTCAAAATTTCCTGTAACTCTCCTTCCAGCACAGAAACTACCTGGCATGGCTAAATAATTTTTTCCTATGTCTTGTCTTTGTAACAAAACTCTAAATTTCCATTCCTGGTGGGTTTTTTTGTTTTTCGGTTTTTTTTGGTTTCCTGTCATAACTCACTATGCACAAAACAGGTGGTGAAAGAAAAAAAAAAAGCTGAATATGCTTCTTCATTCTTGTGCCCCTTCCTCAATGCCTGGCATATGGTAGATGTTCAGAGTAAGGATTCTAGTGTAGACAAGACTTAGGCTGGTTCCTACACCCCTACCCCACCGTACCTCACAGGTAGGTGGGTGTTCAACCAATGATGGTGTCACATTGAAAGACAGTCAATGTGGTTTAGTGGAAAGACATTGGATTGGAGCCAGACGGCATGGGTGTAATTCTGCTACATGCTGTACAACCTTGGGCAAGATTCCTAACTTCTCTGAGCCTGTTTTTCTCAGATGTAAAGTGGGGATTATACTATGTGCCTCCCAGTACTGTTCTGAGGATTCAGGGGCAATACAGATGGTGAAAGGAGCTCTCATGAAGGTGACATTTGTTCACGCAATGCCTTCATCTCTTAGGGAGAGCCATGCGGTCAGCTCCAAGGGCAGCTAAGTTGACTTGTAGAGATTCTTACCTTCTTCTGGTTCTATCCTCAACTCCTCTCTACCTCGATGACTTTGGTGGTTTACACAGATCTGTCAACAAATAGTTTCATTTTTAAACATTGCTGAGGAACACTGTTTAAAAGCTATCACTTTTAGTTTTTCTTTATCAATTTGCTTGTAAACCAATGTTGTTGGATCTGTTTTTCCGTTAACGGTCTGGGGAGGGGGTTAGCCCTAGGCAGTGCATTAATGCCATTTCCCTTGTTCCTTACATAGCAGGACTCATCTCCACCTTTAACTGAAGCTGGAACCATTTGTTAATTGTTTTGGCTCTAATTATGACAGAATTGGCTCTAGCTTGGGTGATATAGCTGGGGGGGCTTCAAGGTCAAACAGGTCTGGGTTTGAATTCTGCCTTCACTACCTGCTTGCTTGTACAAGATACCAAATCTCTCTGAGTCTCTTTTTGCTCAATGTGAAAAGGAGATGATACCCCTCACTCACTCACTTGGGAGAAGAACTAAGTGCTAACTGTTAGTGCCTGGCATATTGGAAAGATAGTAAAGTGCTCTCTCTAGAAACAATTTCTTAAACCTTAAGGACTTTGCTGGACACTTGTAAAATGATTACATGGCATCCTGGGGTGGCATGTGGGTCCTTGCATTTGAACCACTAGTAGATTAAGCTGGACTTGCATAGGGAAGCCTTCGGGTAATTAACCTGGGGTTGGTAATTTTAAGCCAGTTTTCATTCTGTTGCAGAAACAAAAAAGATGAGACTGGAGAAATGCTATTCCTTTAATTGAAGGAACACTTTTATGTTCTCAGGTCTATTTTAATCTTAAGTGCCGATTATGCATCATTCTCTCCTGTTAACAGACACTTCTGTAAGTGATCTGCACAGAGAGAAATATGATTCTTACATAAATACTGTACCATGAGAAATTATCTTATTACCTAATGTGCCAAAAAGCTAATAAGATAAAGGAACGGTACGAGTCATTTTTGGACAATATTAAAACTTGATTTTAGCTCATGGAAATAAAACGTAATTTCCTTTTATTATTCTCTTTCCCAGGTAGAACAAAGGCAGTGAAGGGTGTAAGGATATTACACAGCTGTGTTCCGTGAGCTCTTATGAAGGCTGTGGAAGGGATCCAGGCAGGATGGCCTCAAATTAAGATTTTAATGACTCTTCCATTTAGAAAACACACTCTTGCTGTTAATGCTGTCTTGTCAGGTATGATTTTTGAATCTGCAGGTGAAAGTAAAAAACCCCATCTCCTATTCAGTTGTGCAAATGCTTGCTTCTGGGTGTTTCCATTTGTATGTCCATTACGCAACAAACATATAGTACCTACAGAAAGTAAGGGCAAAACAATTTCAAGAACTGGGAGTTTCCTGAATCGACTCTGGCAATAGGTGATTAAGTGCTGAATTTTGACAAGGTTAAGATAGCTAGACCCAAACACTGACTGAGTGTGGGCCCCACGAGACTTTGTGAGTTTCAAATGTACTTTTAAATGTTGTTCTTTGGGGTTTAAATGTTTTATTTACAAATGAACAAATAACAATTGATCTTGATGAAAGAAATTTGAACAGGACTGGAGTTGATAAAAATTTATGGCTGTGACTATCATTTGGCCGGTGTTTGAGCTTCGGTCATAGACGTAAGTAGTTTGATGCTGGTGGCGATGATGTAGGATGGGTTACAGACACAAACACATTTTTGCTGTCTTCCCTTGCTATCATTCTGACAGAAATAGCACTAAGTAAATGCCTTCAGCCTTCTCTGGCATGCAATTTTTCATCCAAGCAAAACATAATGTACCTAGGACCTAAAAGAAATTTAATAATCTCTACATTCTTGTGATTTGTTAGACCTTTCCCACAAACACCTACAGAAACTATATAATGTTTGCCTGGAGATTTAAGGTAACAGGCTTACACTTGCAGCAAGATGAATTTTTTATTAGATGTTAGGCAGACTCGTTGTGCTGATGTTGGGAAGTGTAGCCAAGAGAGTGTATGGAGAATGTCCTTCTATGGATATTTTAAAGACCTATTTAAACACCCACAGCTATCCGTGAAACTTCCAGGATAGATCAGTTGGAAGCTAGAGAATGAACTCTATGAACCGTATGATTTCACCAACTTCCAATATTCCAAAATAATGTATCCACTAATTCAAAGAGCACTGAAATGACACCTGTAAGGAGCAGGGCTGGTAATGACTGGTAATAACTATCATAGACCTGCCAGCAACGTTTTTAGACCTTCTACACACGTTTGTGAAGCTGTTATTCCTGAGGGCAACTACTAGTTTGAAAGGCCATTTTTCTTCAGAAGGGAAACACAGGGGCTTGTCTTTAAGATAAAACTAAAATAAGAACCTTTAAGTTCAACTATGTGAAGTTCAGCCTGACAGAGTTTTAATATTTAGCTTGGTTAATTAAATCCCATTTTTTGCCCTGAATTTAATTATCCCAATCATTGAGGTAATTTACTATAATAATAAAAAGGGGGCTAAGAGGAATGGAAGAGAATCTGACTGTTCCTTCATCTGGCTCACTGGGGGCATTTCTTCTTCAATTGTCAGTTTATGGATGGCGGTGTTTTACGGGGTATTATGAATTTTCAATTAGCGAGGAAATGAAAATGACAGACAGACCAGTAGATCATCAATGAGTGACTGTATCAGGCAATCACTAAAAAGCTCATGTGTAAGTTCAGGACATATTTTGCTATGAATTCATGGGACCTTAGGCAGTTCCTCTCCCTTAGCTGGAGCTTCTATCATGTTCTTTATATACTGTATGGATAAGCCCTTGTGTAGGGTTTCTATTCAAAGGTAAGAAAGTCAAATATTTGCCACTTCTAAGCAAAAATGAGTGCTCAAACAAAAAGGTGACCTTTCTTGTTTAGCTGTCACTTCCAATATACAAATGGTCTGTTGGCTTAATATTGCTCACGCTCTGCAGTCTCAACACTGAGGTGCCGTGCAGTAGAATCAGAGTCAGATTCAAATCCCAGCTGGAAACTTGCTGTTTCCAGTTACTTAATCTCACTGAGCCTCAGTCTTGTCATCTGTGAAATGAGGATGGTACTATCTACTTCTCTCAGACTGCTGGAGACTGCTGGAGAGGAAGTAGGGGACACCACACAGCCCGTCTGACAACAATAGATGCTCTGCAAATAGTGACTCTTTCTCTTCTGAACAAGTCACAAGTATGCTTATAAATGAATAACAGGCACTGATATATCCTAAAGCTAAACACAATGGCAAATATGCCGGTTTGGTATCAACCAGGGCAGTGTTCCTCACACTTTAAAGAAGCCGTGATTTACCTGGGGATCTGGTTAAATATAGATTTGCATTCGGCCTGAGAGTCTGCATTTTAACAAGCTCCCAGGTGATGCTGATACTGCCAACTGGAGACCACAATTTTAGTAGCATGGAACTAGGGCAATGACTTTTGAATACTGAGTTGACTTTGAGAGACTGGGCTAAGTTGCAAAACAGAATTTTACTCTACCCTTTTTGGTTTGTTTGCTTAACGATAAAAATATTGGGGAAATCTGAAGATGCTATAGAAAAAAAAGTTTGCATGAACACATTTAAAAATCTGGGAAGCTCAAATCCATTCTACACACTTTCATTTATTGTCTGGACAGATAAAGTACAAATAATTCAAACACAACAAGATTATGGAAAAAAAAACATTTACAATACTTTCCCTCAGAAATCATCTAAACTAGCAAGATTAACATGAAGTCATTCATTATAACTAAAGTATACAACTGCCTGGTCCTAAGATTTTTTTTCCTTTTTTTTCCCCCAAGAGTGAACACATTATAGAGAAGAGATTTTGGCATGCCTTTCCCACTAATGCTTAGCAAATGCATCGGAACTTTGCCAGCAAACTGCATTCATTCATAGCAGGTGATGTAAAAAGGTTTCCCTGAATGTCGAACGAGTGTTCTCTGAACTGAAATCTGATGTTTTTGTCCAAAACCGAAAAGAGGAAAAAAAACAGAAAAAAAATTTAAAGGAGGAGTCTATGATGCAGCCTTGGTTTTCGTTATCTGTCTACCACTATGACTACTACGACCAAGTTTGCCTCTTCAGTGTGAGAACAACAGTTCTGTCTACATGCACTTAGTGGGTTCAGCATGGGAAAAAACGCACAAAATAAGCACAAGTTATAAATAACCATAACGTTTTATTACCATTAAGACTAAACTTGTATTGAAAAGATTTTATATAACAAGACAAGAAAAGCAATAGCAAATTTAACTATCAACTAGATTATGCATAGCGAGTAACTGTTTCTATTACCCAGGGAAGAGCAGGAATCCTTGTATTTTTTTGTTTTGTTTTTGTTTAAATATATAACCGTACAAAGCACAAACATACTAAAATGCTCAGTGCACTGGACGTGGGAGAATGCTCCCTCAGTCATTTTGTTCCCTTAGCTCTGTTTTGTTTTCCCCAATCTGAATTACATTAAAATAAAGACCCAGTTGTTTTTATTTTTCTACTGTGCAGTAAGAAAAAATATTCACAACAAACATGACAATATATCAAACAATAGTTCTACACAAGTTACCTTGATACCTCTTGAACTGTCACTTAAATATCATAAGAAAACATTTTAAGACATATACAAACGAAACTAGCCAAGTGTTACAACTTATAATAAATTAACCCAAAGAAAATAATAACTTTATATATATATATTTATATTGTATATACACATACACACACAACAGAATGACACAATAATATGCTTCTTCCCATAGTTTAAGTAAACAAATAAGTAGTCTAGCCAATCTAGCTATATTTGATCTCGGCCATAGGCATCATCACGTCGATTAAATAAATAAGTGTTTCAAGCAACATAAACAGTGTTTCAAATGTACCAACACAGCCCAATTCTATCAGCATGGGCTACAAAGTGAATTTGAAAATTCCTTAATGAATTTAAAGCAAACGTATCTTTTGTTTTCCTCTCCTAAACACATTACATTTAACTATGATACTAAGATATGTAAATAATTTCGTAGCACCTACTGCTCAAACTAAGGAAGTTTTAGATCAAAAGGAAAATTAATCTTTTTAATTTTTGTTCTGCTGACATCCCATACTGATGACTTAAAGAAAAACTGTCTTTCAACTCATCTCCTTGCTTTTGGGTTTTGACTGTGGGGAACTGTGGTACCCTGGGTAGAACGAACACTCCTTTCCCCTAGTAATTAATAATTTTTTAATTATTATTACATGCTATGAAAAGATATGAAGATCATCTGTTTATAGCCCATCCTTCAAAAAACAGTCTACGAATCCAGTTTAAAACACACATCTTGATCTCTAAAAAGTTACCAGTGCAGTATGAACGCGACAAAGTTGTCAATTTCCCCTAAATTAGCCAGTCAAAATATTTTTTTCTCAAATCCAGATTCTCTTGTAAAAATTCTTTATATTTTATAAAAATAGATTTTTCTTGAAACCCATTTTCAGCAAAGAGACCACCTCTTTGGCAACAATGTTAATGTTATTAAATTGTTAATGTCATCAGGTATCCCCCTTGCCCCCATCCCCTAACAGAAGACTGTTTTAGTTCACATGATATAAAAGAAAAAAGGAAAAATAAAAAAATTTGCAAAAGTTTTTTTTCATTTTTGCAATTTTTATTATTCCTCTTTAATCTGTGTGGGGTTTTTTTTTGTTTTTTTTTTTTACCAATCTGATTGGATCAACATTTGACAAAAAAGAAAAATCTTTTTTTCTTTCTTTGAATCCCATTACTTTGTAAAAATTGTTTTATTTTTATTATTTTTTTTTTGTCTTTTGTTTTTCTTCTTCAAATGAGCGAATGGTCATCTTAAAAAGATCCACCTTCAAGGAAGGTAGTAAAGTTAGCTGGCTGGGTAAAAATCCCTGCACATTGCTATCTATGTATATTATATTCAACAACGACGGCTATGAAAGAACATTCAATGCATCAAAGGTATTTTTTTGTTTTTTTCTCTTTTTTTCTAAGCATTATAAAATCCTTTCCTGGTACACCTCAGGATACTCCAATGTTTTAATACTTAGGCAACACTGGCTTATAAAGTCCATGGTTGAATATAAGCCTTGAAAAGTTTGTTTCTCTCTCTTTTGTGTGTGTGCGTGTGTATGTGTGTGTGTGTGAGCGTGTGTTTTGTTCGTATATATTTATATATATATTTTAATAAGTAAGGATGGGAGATTCAGGACTTATGGGCTTTGTTGGTTTTAAAGGAAACTTGTAACACTCGGTCTCCCAGGCGGTACCCGTTGAGGCTGGCGATGGCCATGGCCGCCTCGTCATAGTTGGTCATAGTGACGAAGCCGAATCCCTTGCACTTGTTGGTGTTGAAGTCACGGATGACCTTGACGTTGTTCACTGCGCCGAAGGGGCCGAAGAGCTGCCAAAGGACACTCTCGTCGGAATCGGGGGACAAGTTGTAGACAAAAATGCACCAGCCCGTTCCTGTGTGACCAGGGATGTTCATTCCCACAAGGCTTGTCATCCCGTCAATAGTGATTGGGGAGAACCTGGGGGGACAAGCAGAAGGGGGGACTGGTCCAGACATCAGTCTGACCACGGATAACACACAGATGCACAGACACAGACACGGGGCAGAGGGCTGAGTGAGTGTTTGCAGGAGAGTCTTCAGGGTTTAAAAACCAAAATGCAAAAACTAATGTCTGTGGTATTTCTTCTGATGGGAATGGCTAGAATGGCTAAGGCATGTGTATGCCAAGAGAAAGGCCTAGGTCAATTCCTAAAAACAACAAGGAACTCCCAAAGCTAGGCTCTATCATAGTTCTACCACAGTATATGTTCATGGGGTAACCCACCCTGACCCTTACTTACCCTCCCTCCCCGCAACAGACAGTGAGCTCTTAGAAGGGGTTCTATCTCATTCATTCTGTTGCTCTCCTTACTTACTCAGTGGAGCACACATGGGATCTCACAGACATAGTGA